TATTACATAGATAATTATTAAACATAAATTTCTGCTTACACTATAAATGACAGCTTTTTTCCTACATGCTGCAATCGTAATTTTGCTAATTAAGATACATTAAATGCATCTTGCTCATTAAGATACATTAAATGTGTATTACATTGACTTGCCAAAGATGGAGTTAGATTATGCATTTATCTGCCACTAGGTGGCAATCATATTTTTGTTGGGCTCTATTACACCACTGCAGAAGTCGAGTTTAGGGCACATGCTGTACCAGATCAGTCAGTATCAGCAGGTAGCTGACCTCTGCAGAATTCTACTATCCTATCAGGAGGTGTGAAAACATCTCAAAAACACAAATAATAATACAAAAATACACAAGTGAAGATAAAAAAGCTGATTGAACTGAGGAGATTGACACAAATTACAGATATAAACAGAGTTCCTCATAAATCAGAACTAGTTTTAAAGCAGGAAGTGTGATTTTGTCTTGCTTAATCAGAGCAACTCTAAAACCACTTCATGCACATGAACAAACAAAGCTTGGTTTGTTGGAGTTGACAATGTTCATTTGGGAAAAGAAACAAGGTTAAAGGTTACAGGGTTTCTGCAGTTTACAAAATTACTTCAATTTAATCCTCTGTATTTTGAACCTTAATACATTTTACAGATCGTTATTCATAGGTTCCAAATATAAAAGCAATGTTTCTTCCACTTGGTCTCTTTTTTTCTTTATTGTCTAGATTTTTTTCCATTTTTTGTTTTAGTTTTGATAAAAAGTTAGGGCATTATTATTCTAGCCCTATTCTATTATTATAGCTAGCCCTGAAAAATGAAAAACTGTAAGAGAAATCTGATTGTGAAAGAGTTTATATTGATGGCGTCCATCTAACAAAAAAAATAAAATAAAAATAAAAAACAGAAGAAAAAAAAACAAATCAAAAACAGATTGGCTAAAACTTGTAAAAAAAAAAAGAAAAAAAAAAGAAACGAGTTTTCCTATTAACTGAAATTAACATCAAAGAGATCCTAAAACCCTTAAATTGTTATATTTAATATTAAAACTTGCAGAAACCCTGAATTACATAACATCTAGAACAACAGTCTTTTTGTGAGAAACACATATTCTAACCATAATTCTAATGAGAGGTCCGGACATTACATTAACAAACACATCAAGTCCCAGTATTGCTTTCACTCACAGGAAGACGTTGGATGTAAATGTGCACCTTTTTTGTTTAGGGATCTGTAAAGGAAGAGTTTTACATTTGTGCCTGGATGTTCGTATGTGTGTCAGCAGAGCATCCCTAATATTCACATTTCTGAGCGTATTAAAGACAATGTCACTTACAACACTGTCATTGCATTATTACCTGTTCCTACAGGCTTATACCCAGCTTCACTTTAGCTCTAAGAATATAAATCCTTTCGCTATCCATTTACACTAAGCAAAATAAATCCACTGTAAAGACAGAAGGTACTTAAAATTGTCAAGGGAGTAACCACTTGAACCATTTCTGTTCCACTCTTTTTCATTTCATGTGTTTGAAGCATCTGTGTTGCATTCATTTTCTGAATGAAATCTAATTGTCTGACCTCATTTAGAAAAGTAAGAGACACATTTATCCAGATGGTATTCAAGTTAACACATCTGTGTCCTCGAGACATTCACGACAACCAAAAGTCCTCTTAATTTACAGCATTGCACATTGCCAAACAGGATCCTCTCGACAGCTTAAATGGCATATTACAAGACTGAGTTGGATAGTAGGAATGCTAACTGCATCAATGAGAGGAGTTGCTGGTAAATGAAACAAATTCATTTATAACATCAAGAGCAGGGCATTGGTTGCTTTGTGTGGTGTTACAGTATGTAGGAACAAAAATGCAATCAGATTTCAGTTAGCTCTTTTTAAGCCATTTACTCTGCAGCTGTACATGTAACACAGTCCAATTAGATTTTAATTCATATCAATTCCAAGTCTAAAAAAAACAATAAGAGTTTTTTTATTACATTACTTGGTCACAAGGCTGATTATAGATTTTGAATCTGCACAGTTAATTTTTCATGCCAAGTGTAAATGGAACGCAGCTTCTGATATCAAGCACAGATAGCTCAACTTGGTTCAGCTATTAAATGCTAATATCAGTACATTAGGTCACAAAGCATTTGTGGTATATATATATATATATATATATATATATATATATATATATATATATATATATATATATATATATATATATATATATATATATATATATATATATATATATACATTTGTATGATGAGATGTGCCTTGGACAGACGGAGCTGCCTCCCAATCGAGACACATCAGTAAAGTGCCTTACAACAGGTTATTGCATAATCTGATGTCTGCCTTATTGCTTCCATTGAAAGCAAGAGGGGCACTCTCATTGAAGAGAGTAAAAGACTGGTACAATAAAGAATTTGAAAACAATTCAGATAACATTTTTGGGGAAAAAACTATGAGTATCATTTATGACTTTTTACAAAGTTGTTTTTAACTTTAATAAAGTGCTCTGTTGTTTCTTTGAAAGGCCAGTCTACAATTTTTTAGTATCAAAGTGGCTGTGATCATGTCTTTTTTAGGGATGGATTTCTATATGCATGCGGCTTTCGGTTGTTGAAATTGTGACTGTTTGTCCAGCGGCCTTTTTCTGTTATGTTTTTGACAATACAGTGGGAATTCTTCATGTTATTTGATGCAAGCATGCTTTAACATGCATGTTTTTTGTTTCTCTTTGTTTTTTATGTTCAAATTTTATACAAAATCCACTCCTAAAAGGTTGCTGTACTCTTACTGCTCTCAATAAAATAACAATTCTAAACTGAAAGCAAACTTCTTAGCATGTCTAATATCTAAGCATGTAAGCTAATGGCCAAGGACATTTATTGGCACTAATCTACACTAAATTAGACAGTGGGCATTAAGCAAGGACTGATTTCTAGTATCAGATTCTTTTAATAGCTACATTTCAAAATAATGAAAATATTCGATCATATGTTCTTATGGTTTAAAGTCCTTAAAATGGCTATGTAGGACATAAGATATCACAGCATTGTTGCTGTGCTCTGACACCTTGCTAAAATATAGCTTCTACATTTTTCTGTAGTCTACTAGAAAGCATAATTTGTTGTTTTTAATACTTGTTTTTGCAAAAGTGAAGGACACTCATGGTAAGAAAGAAAAAGTACCACCTATCTCCCACCCATTGCTGTTCCAAAACTACAGCTGGCATCTAAAAGTCTTCTTTATGTTAAGCAGCACACTGCAGGCTTAAAAGCCTATCTAAGATTACTTAAGTAACTGACATCGTTAATGAACAGAACTGCAAAAAAAGTATAACGTTTTAAGCAATATGACCTTGAAAAAAACTAATGCATGTGCTGAAATATTTATATCAAAATCAAATTACAATTTTTGTATTAAATTTGAGAAAAGTCAATCATTGTTTTTGTTCTGGTATTTCAAAAAAGGGATACAAAGTAATGTCAAATGAATGCGTGCATACTCTAAAATAGAAAATTTACACGACATACAGTAAACTAGCTTGGAGCAATCACTCTATAATGTCAATTTTGACAAACATGATACTATATTATGATCTGGCCTCCTCTGGAGAAGCCACAGCTGTTTCGAACATTCTGAACACAGCATGTTGTGTTCTTTGGTCACTGCCTTCTCATTATATCTTTATGTCAGATACAATTTTAACACAATTATAAAAAGAAATCAATTATAAAGCCTAACAGTAACATAAAATAATTACATAAAACTCCTTTTGGGTCATTTCGCTGAACAGGGTGCCTCTTCCAAAACCTTGGCCCTTTGAGTGTTTTGTTCAGATCTAAGTAACATTTTCTTCACGATAAACAGGCCATAGGCCTTATTTTATATTAAAACAGTTATTTCAGAACGAGAATTGAGTTTATGTATCTTCCAATGAAATTAAAAAATAATTAAATATGTTTTAACTTAATTTCTTTCCAATTCTAGTCTTTTACAGGGAATTTTTTTCTTGATGGAATTCCATCGCTTCTACTATTCGCTGTGTTTCCCATTTGTTTGAGTTCTCTTTTTGAGGATAAATTAAAGCTAAAAGATGAATCTTCTAAATAATTTCTAACTTTTTACTTAAGTCTCCTCTAATAGATTTATTTAGTTTTTTACAGGAAACCAGAAGTTAGTAATTTCTGCACAATTAAGTGTAAATTGATTAATTCAGCAATTTAACTTGTTCTGTTGTTGTATGTAAGTGCAGCGTATGCTCATATGAGGTTATACAAAATGCACACATGCTAAAATTGCATTGAGTATTGTTAAGAAGCAGCAGCATTTAGGTTTATCCCTCTCTATGAGGACCATGGTACTGAGAGGACTGTCTGTGAGGGTCGGGGCATTTATGATGTTTATGAGTTTTATCCTCCCGTCAGCAGAGGGAGCCGAAGCAGAACAGGCACCAGTGTTTAACCAAAGCAAGACTGTGAAACCTGTGGCTGTGTTGAACTGGATCAGTCTGTTGCACAGAAAATGCTGTTCACAGTGGTTAGCCAGGTGTACCGTCACAATCTTTGTGTTGGCATCAGTGAACCAAAAAATGTCTACCTTGCTTGAACTGGACTGTAAACATAAAAACTAAAGCTGAAATCACAGAGGTTTAATCCAAAGCCACTTTAAGGAAAAATGTATGGTTTTCTAATTACTCACATGCAAGCTAATTTGCAAAGCGTCAAGTATTTTTTGCTAATATAGTAGTTATGTCAGTTACTTTATTTACTTGGAATGACTGATCATGACTTGATTTCTTACTAATTTTGTTTAATAATTTTTTGTAAAGATTATTCGATTAAACCTCTGCAGGTCTATGCTTTTTCATAAAATTATTTGTGTAGGAATTTTGTCTGGGTCCTAATTTTGACAAAAGCTAAAATAATAATAAATAATAATAATTGGCAGACATACAGTAGAACCAAACATGCATTTGAATAATAAAAGCTTTGATGTGCATCTGTGGTTTAAAATTATTCACATAAATGATAGTGATGGCATTTATGAAAAAGCATTAATTCAAGCTGCAATGCATTAAAAAAAGAACTTTGGGAAGGTGATTATTCAATAACAGACTAACTGAAACTTCAGCAATTTGGGGTTTAGTTAGGTACAGATGAGAGTCGTAGAACAGGCTGCACACTGTGTGACTAATGGGCTTTGGCATTAGATACAGAGTGATCCAGATTCCTGCACAGTCCACACCTCCCAAATCTTAAGCATGATTTAAAATAGATATTTAGAAGTTGCATTATTTAGACTCTAATAAGATAAAACAGTCCACTGATAAGAGCTTGTTCTTTGAGCGTGTATAACTCTGTAACATATTTACAAACATACAATCTTTGTATTTCACTTATGCCTTTGGTGTCCCTTTGTTGTCAGCTTTGGCTCCTGAAAGTCCATTTTCTGTATTGTCGTTCCCTGAGGAGCTCACCAGGCACTCTTTACTACAGAAGAAAGAAAGAAAGAAGCAAAGGTTTAGATGAAGGGAAAGCCAAACATGTTAGTAAGGCTTTCTTGTTTATTTTCCCCCTTTGTAAAAAATAAAACTATTCTTTGTGCTTGAAACAAGCTGTCCTGTGGATGAAGTCTATTCCTGATACATTTGCAGTTTTTTGCAAATAATAGAAGGCCAAATTCAATGTCCCCATTACATGTGCATCAGTATCTTTGCTGGCTTTAAATCACACAGGTAATAACATGAGTGCACAGATTTATATTTTATATTTTCTTAAATATAAAACATAATTGCCAAATGTTTTATATTGGTTGTCATAATCTCTGATCCCATGCAGACAATGAGGTGATGAGATAACATTTTTGTTCCTGATGATTATTATTACCATGTCATATAGATTTAAACATGAAATGTAATTTTTTCCAAAAATGTAAAGATAATTGCAACAAATTCTGAACTAGAGAATGTCATGGATGACATGACTGACAACTTAAACATCAACATTGCTAGGTGATCTGGCACAGGGTATATAAGTGGTCACATGTGGCGCCAGCTACTTAAAGAGGTGCTGCTGCAAGCCCTAAAAAAAGGATAAAATCAACAACAGGAAAATCTGTGCAGCCGTTATTGAAACCCTTTAAATATGCTCTATATTAAAAAGAAAGGATGAGTAAACACATCTGTGGACAAAGGCCCAGTTGTTCTTTGTGGAAGCCAGATGGGAAACATTTTTGATACAAGCATCCGGTAGAGGTTCCTATTGACAAAGAATGCTTATGTTTGACCTATCCATATTTTTGTAAAGAAAAGGGAACCCACGAGTGCTTTTTTTAGTAATGGAAAAAAGAAAGATAAAAAAATATATATATATTACAAAGAGGTTGTTGTACTATCAGTAAAGCAGGCTGTTGGGCATTTCACTTTGAGTGATTAAGAATTTTTGATGATTTGCTGTTTATTTTGTTGATTGATGTTTTTAATAATGAAAAGCACTTTGAATTGCCTTGCCCCTGAAATGTGCTTTAGAAATACATTTGACCTAGTTTCTAGTTGGAGGAATGTCTTGTAAGATAAAGATGAATAATTTCCTAATAGTAATAATAATAATAATACATTTTATTTCAAGCGCCTTTCAAAACACTCAAGGTCACTGTACATGTAAAAACAATAAATGGTAAAAGCAGTCGTCATAATTAAAAGAAACAACACAAATTACACAGAGGAAAGTAATATAAAATCATAATGAAAAGGCAATCTTGAACATGTGGGTTTTGAGTTTGGATTTGAATACGGGTAAAGACTCGGTATTGCAGATGTCAGAGGGGAGAGAATTCCAGAGTGTGGGCGCAGAACGTGAAAAAGCTCTGCTCCCCATGGTTTTAAGACGGGCTGAAGGAACAACTAAGTGAGTGGTAGAAGAAGATCTAAGAGTGCGGGAGGGAGTAGAAATTTGAAGTAAATCAGAAAGGTATGGAGGGGAGAGATTGTGAATAACTTTAAAAGTAAGTAGGAGGATTTTGAACTGAATTCTATACTTCACAGGTAGCCAGTGGAGCTGCTGCAGGACTGGGGTGATGTGATGAAAAGAAGGGGTTCTAGAAATGATGCGAGCTGCTGAGTTTTGTACTGACTGAAGCCTGTGAATGGATTTTTGAGGAAGACCGAAAAGAAGAGAATTACAGTAATCAATGCGGGAAGTGACCAGACTATGAACAAGAGTGCAGGTGGAGCTAGTGGAGAGAGAGGGGCGAAGGCGATTGATATTGCGTAAGTGAAAGTAAGCGGAACGGGTAAGGTTGTTAATGTGAGAGGAGAAGGACAAGGTACTATCAAGGATGACACCCAGACTCTTGACCTGAGGTGAGGGGGAAATTATGGAGTTGTCAAATGAAAGGGAGAAACTGTCAGCTTTGGATAAAGTAGATTTTGTTCCCACTAAGAGGATTTCGGTCTTGTCATTATTCAGTTTAAGAAAGTTGGAGGTGAACCAGGATTTTATTTCGGTTAAGCAGGAGATTAATGAAGGAGGTGGGAGTGAAGAGTTTGGTTTACAAGAAAGATAGAGCTGGGTGTCATCCGCATAACAGTGAAAATTGATGTTGAATTTCCTAAAGATATTGCCAAGGGGGAGAATGTAGATGATAAAAAGTAGGGGTCCTAGAACAGAGCCTTGGGGAACACCGGTGGTAACTGGAGAGGAGTTGGAACGATATGACTTAATCTGAACAAACTGAGTGCGGCCAGAAAGATAGGATTGAAACCAGGCTAGGGGAGTGTGAGTGATGCCAATTGTATAAAGTCGATGGAGTAGGGTAGAGTGTGAAACTGTGTCGAAGGCTGCACTTAGATCAAGAAGAACGAGGATGGAAATTAGACCAGAGTCAGCTGCTATTAAAAGATCATTGATTATTTTTAAGAGGGCGGTTTCAGTGCTATGACGGGGACGGAAGCCAGACTGGAACTGTTCATAAAGGTTGTTGTGAGTTAAGTGAGAATGAAGTTGAGAAGCGACTGTTTTTTCCAATATTTTTGAAATAAAGGGTAAATTTGAAATTGGCCTGAGATTATTGTAATTGTTGGGATCTAGTCCAGGTTTCTTCACAATAGGAGTGATAATAGCAGTTTTGAAAAGAGATGGAACAATTCCAGAACCAAGAGAGGAGTGGATGATGGCAGTTATGAAGGGGAGGAGAGCGTGAAGGCAGGATTTAACCAGGGCAGACGGGATGGGATCAAGTGGGCAGGTGGAAGATTTAGATTTGTTGATAAAATCAGAAATATCGGAGAGGGTAGGGAGATAAAAGCTGCAAAAAGGCTGGCAGGGTGAAGGGGTTATAGGGGAAGGGGGTGACAGGATGGGAGGCAGGCACTGGTGAATTATTTTGATTTTATCATTGAAAAACTGCATAATCGAATTGCAGGCGTCAGTTGAGCATAGGTGGGGAGGAAGAGAAGCTGGGGATTTGAAAATATTGTTAAACACCAAAAACAGAGTCCGAGAATTACTTTCGTGTGAGGAGATCAGGTTGGAATAGTAAGTGGATTTAGTTTTAGTGATTAGTTCTTTATATTGAGTTATCTGAGTTATATACATTTCACTGTGAATTGTTAAACCGGTTTTCTTTTTAAGTCTTTCAAGTTGACGGCACTTAGCCTTCATGGTCCGGAGTTCAGGGGTAAACCAGGGGGCGGAGTGGGAAAAGGTGACAGTCCGGGATTTTGTTGGGGCAAGGAGGTTCAAAATATCATTTAAGCAGTTATTGTATTGAGATGTCAGTTCATCCGGTGAGGAAGAAGAATCCAGGATTAAAGTTCTTAGGATGTGTGAAGAGAGAGTGTCCAAGTTAATGTTCTTAATGTTCCGGAATGAAAGGAGCCGTGGGGTCTTTGCTGTGAAGAGACGAGGGGAAATGCTGAATAAAAGGAGGAAATGATCAGATATGTGAAGATCCTCAGCTGAACAGTTAGAGGGGGTAAGACCAGAGCAACAAATTAGGTCAAGAGTATGACCTTTAGAGTGAGTTGGAAAATTGGAAAACTGATCAAAACCAAAATTGTCCAGACAAGATAGGAAATCTCTGGCGAGGGGAAGGTTAAAATTGTCCATGTGAATATTAAAATCCCCCACCAATATTACATTGGGTGAGAGAGAGGAGAGGAGGGTTAGAAGATCTGTTAGTTCATTTAAAAAGTCACTATGTGGCTTGGGGGGGCGATAGACGGCCGCAACAATGGTAGGTGTAGGGCCAGAGAGTGTACAGGACAGGCATTCAAATGAGTTGTAGGAAGGCACAGTGACGGGAACCACCTTCCATTTCTCGTTGTAGAGTACCGCGAGACCGCCTCCTCGGCGCGTCACGCGGGGCTGGCAAAGGTAAACAAACCCGGGTGGAGTGGAGTCATTTAGTTGTGAATAGTTATTAGGCTGTTGCCAAGTTTCCGTTAGAATCAGAAAGTCCAGTTCACGGTCAACAAGGATGTCTTGGACGAGATGACCCTTGTTTGTAAGCGAGCGGATATTGAGGAGACCGAAGTTGAGGGTGATGTTTTGGAGTTTGACTGGAGGCTTAGCCGACCTAGCTGGGCTGGCTAGCACGCTGTGGTTCACAGTCCGATGGGATTTACGTTGAGAGCGGCGAGTTGAGGACCAGTAGGATTTAACAGGTTTGGAGTCGCTGGGATGGAAGAGTCGGCGAGATCCGCGGTGTGTGTATTTCCGGCGGGGTAGGAGAGCAATATCAGGGTAGAAGTTTAAAGATGCTGGCGGAGGTTCAGTCAGAAGTGAGCGGATGCGGAGGAGCTCTGCTGCGGTGTACTGGATTAGACCAAATCCAGGACGGAGAAGAGGCAACATGAAGATCAGGATTATTACGGTCCAGGTGAAAATCTGTGGAGGCCACATCATTTGTAGCAGCAGCTGGTCCGGAGGGTCGAAGGGCTGGATAGAGAGGCAGGTAAGATTACACTTTTGCCGAAACTTGACGAAGCATGAAGAGTATCCGTAACAAAGTTTCAGAGTAGCTCCAAGCGTTGGGTTGTGGAGGATTGTTCATTTAGTCCATGAAATTATTCGCAAAAATTGTAGAGCACAGCTGTCGGAGAGTAGCGGCGCCAGAAATCACGCCAGCGTCCACTCAACCGGAAATGTCTGAAGAGATGATAATAATAATGATAATAGTGCAACAAAACCCTTGCCTAAACCTTTTTCTTAAAGTATTTCTAATCACAGCTACAGTACGTAGTCTATTTTAGGGTGAAAACACCAAGTGGTTTTTCTGTTAGAGCTGCATGCTTTGTCTGTTTCTGTACAGAAAACACTCTTAATCTTCCCTAAACAGATGAACTAAACTTAAAGAATATTTGCAAAGGCATCCTGCAGATGGATATCAGCTCACATTTTCACCATTTGCTGAACAATGTACATACTCACAGAGATGGCAAAAGTACTCACTTTCCGTACTTGAGTAAAAGTACAGATACTTGTGTTAAAAAATACTCTGGTAAAAGGGGAAGTACTGATTAAACTTCTTTACTCAAGTAAAAGTAACAAAGTACAGGCTTGTAAATTTACTTAAAGTATAAAAGTAAAAGTAGAAACCACTTTTTTCATGCCGTTGCCTACATTTTAAATGGATGTCTGCCAATAGGACTAGATCTCCGTTGTGTTCATTTTCAATCATCTCGTCGTCCATGCTACTATGCTAACGCCACCGCCACCAAGCTGCAATGATTTGCCGCGAATGAATACCGCCGAATCTGTCGATTCATCTTGTAGTGGTGCGTCAAATGCAACGTAGATTCCCATCCAATTAGATTGAATTTGGTATTGATGACGTGAAAAATAATAACGGTAACTCCATTGAAATGATTCAAAACTAAAGTAACGAGCCAATTTTTTAAAATGTAAGGAGTAGAAAGTACAGATATTTGTGTAAAAATGTAAGGAGTAGAAGTAAAAAGTCGCCATAAAAATAAGTAGTAAAGTAAAGTAAAAATATCAGAAAAATCTACTTGAGTACAGTAACGAAGTATTTGTACTTCGTTACTTCCCATCTCTGCATACTCACCATTTATTCCTGTTTACATATATCACGGGTATTAAGGCAGTCATTGTTGATTTTTATTATGATATTGCCGTCAATACTGGATATAAATAATTTCAATCTAATACAGTTTCTTTAAACACTATTTTATACAAACCACAGTCAAACAACTAATGTGAGGTAATAGAGTAACAATCTGGATGTATTATGTTTGAATTCAGCTGCTAGCAAGCAGTACAGTAAATGAGACAAAGCTTAAAGATGTCGAGTTCTTAGCAATGTTTTAACCTTTCTGATGTCAAAAAAAATTTATGGACTCATCCTGGCATGTTTATTTGTCATTTTAATTTTTTGAATTTTTAAAAGGAGATAGATTTTTAAATTCAATGTATATATGGAACACAGGCTGCAACAGTCTCTTTCTTATCTAACTGCCTTCCAGATATATAAAAGTCAAAAGAGTTTAAATCTGAGAATTAATGATTGGAGTAATTTTTGTCTGATCAGGGTTTGGAGTGTGAGGAATCAAACCATAATCTCATCAAGGCCACAAAATATCTAGTTGGGTGAGTGAAATGGGATGAGGACTGAGCAAAAGCTGATTGTTTTCACTGTTTGTTCATCTTCCTTTGGATCTGCACTGTTTGATCATTAGGGACATACAATGAAAGGACCTGAATGACTAAACTGATTTAAGACAATCATACTCAGGTAAATGACATGCTTTTTTTAATTTGAACTTTCAGTCAGGTTATGGAAAATTATTATATTTTTATATTTTAGGTTTTTCGTTATTTTTTTCAGTTTCATATTCAGTTAATTAAATCATTTATGCAAAAAATAAAATCAGGTGAAGTTAAAAACAGTCATTTTATGAAAAATGATTTATTCACACATAAAAAAAAAGCTGATAATGCTTATATTTAGCTGTAAATGTCTATCATAAATGAAGTTTAGTTATATATTTCTATTCTACATCAATTTCTATAAAGGCAGCTTTGAAAATGTAAAAATAATTTAAATAATGCCCCAACATTATTTAAGGTATATATCTTATCCAGGTTTTTTTAAATAAGAGAACAGAAGACTTTTTTCTTTTAGAGAGTTAAAACTAGCAGTAACTTTTTTATAATCATCCAATTTACCATCAATATTCAGTTAAGAAGGATATTAGTAATGAATCAACAAAGTGCTTAACATGATGCCTTGGATACGGATGTACAGCCCTGACCTGTTTCTTATTTTACCATGTTACATTCCAGCATTCAGTGTAGTTAGGATGTCATGTGACAGACCAAAACAAAGAGGTTAATCATTGTGAAGTGGAAGGGAAATTATGCACTTGATGAAAAATAATGATGTATTCAGTTTTGTAAAGCATAAGTTGCAAATTTCTCCAATCTTCTAAAGCAGTAAACATAGTACTGGTGGTTTGCAAGCGCCCCCTGGTGGTAGACAAGGAGCCTAAGACATTTTGATAAAAGTATTATTTTGAAACTCTCTACACACTACAGTAATTTGTAGAACGTGTTGGTCTAATTTTGCTTTTTTTTTTTTTATTATGTTTTCATTTATTTTGATTTTATTTATTTGTTTTGGGATCAGCTACAAGAACAGTTACCAACTAAATGACCTTTTGATTATATTTTGCTACTTTTTATTTACAGTGATAACTAAAAAATCTAAGTTTATGTCTTTTTTCTGTCTTGTTGGAAACTTTGACAATACCAATCGCTCTGGAGCTTCTCTGGAGCTTGCTGTAAGCTTTCCAAGCTAACAGCAGCGCTTACTGTGAGCTGTGAGAAGAAACACTTGGCCTTTTGGATAAAAAAAACTCTTCCATTTCTACAAAAGCTGTTTGCTTTCTGTTTCCTTTTACAAAACGTAGTGTGCAGGAAAGTTTCTCCTACTATCAGCCCAGTTCAACGTAAAAACAGAAGCTGGCCAGATGTAGAGCATCATCTCAAACTAAAGCTTTCTTCTACTGAGCCACACATGTTAAAATTATGTTTACAGAGTCAAGCACATCCATCTAATTACCTTCTTATGAATAAATTTATGTCAATCTTGAACATTACCAACATGATGGTTCTAAGGAGCTGCTACTATTGTACTTATAGTTGTTGACTCCAGTTTTCTTTCTTAATGCAGGGAAGTTCATGTTACTACATGTCATAATAGTCTGTCCACTAAACTCATTTTCAGAAGTGCCATTCCTTAATGCAGATTGCATGCGCAGTATGTTTGATGTGTGATGGTCTGGTGTGTTGCACAACAATAAGAGCTAATTTGTTTGTCAGACACAAAAAACAAAGGAAAATGAACTGAAACCTCAAGTTTGAGGTTGTAATGGGAAAATATGCAAGGTGTTGCACTCCAGTCATTGTTATACTCACGTCTTCTCATTACCCTTGCGTAGAAAATGAAGAACCACTGCCTTTATCACCATAATGATGATTACCAAGCCAATGACTCCTCCCACAACTGAGACAATAATGACCGTCAATGTATTGTCAACCTCCTTCACTGTAAAGAGTGAGTAAAAGAATTGCATTATGAATAGCTTTAAACATTTTTTTTAATATGAGGTACAACTTCATTTATATGTATAGATATAATTACTTGTGTGACATACTTTGATCGACCACCCTAAGTGTGAAGACAGCGCTGTGGTTGCGGTTCTTCTCTTTTGGATTTCTGGCAAAACAGATGTAGTCCCCTTCATCTTCAAACGTTATGTTCCACAACAAGATGGAGATGTTGTTTGTCTTAGAGGAGCCAACAAACTCTACACGTTCATGGTAAATGTGGACTTTTGGCTCCACTCTCTCCATAGGAATCTCTGCTTCACACAGCTGTACACACAAGCATCTACTTAGACACAAAGCATAGGTTATCCTGTTTAATTCCAAGTACCCTCAAATAAACTGTGTCTCTTGATATGTTGCATTGGCCCTTTTTCTTGCACATTACAACTTAGACATGCTCAAATGTGTAGGGACCTCTTTGAAAATGCCAGATTTTTTTGGAGTAAAAAAAAAGGAAATGATGAACAAATTTGAAAAAAATTCCATGTATAACATGACATCTTTTCTTTACACTTAAATTAAAAAAAATAATAAGACTGAAAAAAATTAATAAGGAAAAAAGCAGTTTAGTTTAGCATCCATACGCATTCACTCAAACCTTTTTAACCACTCCCTGTCTTCTCCACAGTTTGATGATAAAATCCTTTGTTTTATTGTAAATCCACTGTTTTCTTTTTTTTGTCCTGTTAATTTTCCTGCATGCTACATGAATCCCAAGGAACTTTATTGCCAGCTTACTATGATATCTTTCTGAGCTATTGTAACCTGTCTGCAAATTATGGCTTTAGGTAAGAGTGACAAAATGTAAAACTGTCAGTAGGACAACTGAACTTTATCTTGGGCTAAATAGATTTAATATTGATGTAGTGGCTATACCCCACCTCTCAGCAAATAGCCACTGGAGATAAGCTCCAACTGCCCTGCAACCCTGCAAAGGTAGGTGAGTTAAGATAATGGATGGATTTAACATACAATATATAACTGATGGCTGATGCAAATGAAGTAAATGGTTAAAAAATTATCAGAATCTGTTTTTTTAGTATAACTTTGAGTTTTGATTTAAGCAATAAGATGACCAAATATTCCAAATCCCAACAAACACATTATTTTTAAGTTGGATCCTACACAATAAATGTCACGTTATATGCTGAAGAGGGTTTTAAATGATTTACAGTGACTTTCTGGCATTTTCACAGAGATGTCTACAAAAACGGCAGCTCCTGTTATAAATCGAGCCCAAAATAAACTTTCTTCTACGAAAATAGCTCTGATGGTATACACCTTTTCCCTTATGAGGAAATTAAATTTTACGAATTCTCGTTTGTTCACTGAGACAATGCATTGTTCAATTTAAAATTATGAAAGTTACATTAGAATTTGACATGTTTGAGTTGTAGATATACACAAATTCTTAAATAAAATGTTTTTAGCAGAATTTCTTATGGCTAAAAAACAAAAGAACAAAAACAAAGCATGGTTTAAGGGATTGGTCTTGTCAAAGCCAAGTTCAGTTATAAATCTAAACGTAAGGCGACAACATGGAGAAGTGGAAACATTTTCAAGGCTACTATTTTGCCAAAAATATTTCTGTAGCTGCAATTCAATTAAAACTTGAAGGCTGTTCTAATGATAATTTGTACATATGATTTTTATCTTTACCTTTAATAAAGTCCCATTGTCATTATACTTCCAGTTGAAGTACAGGTTTTTAATGCCAATGCAAGATGAGTAAGTGCAGGGCAGCAGAACTGTGGAGCCATTCATTGCTTCAATTGAGGAAACTTTACCCGTGGAAACTTCTAATCCACCAACACTCCATGCACCTGAATGACAAAGAAGAGAAATATATGTAGAAAATATATTTTGATTGAGCATTTAACTCAACCATAATAACAACACAACACAAAACAAAATTTTTAATGCAAAAACAAAAACACGGAAATTCACTAAATAGGATGACATAAAAAAAGACACAATTGGTTTCAGGTCAGTTTTGATACAGTCTAATGTCCTGAAAGACATTAGGACTAAAAAGTCGAAGTACACCCTACAAATTGACAGTTTTCTGTGCTACAAACAATTGCCTCATAAGTAACAGTTAAATTAAAGCAGAACGTATATCATGTCAATATGCATTGCAAATATTGTTATAGAACAAACTTACAGAATAGACACATACAGTGTATCACCCTTTTTGTTTTCTTGTATATATTCTTATTAATGCCATTATCTCATTATTTCATATCATGAACAGACACACATTGTCCATATGCTGTACATTGTGAACTATATGTTGACCTTAACTGACTTTCATTAATTTTCATTTTCAAGCCTTTCAGTGCTTTAACCATGAGAATAAACCTAACCATTACTAGTGTACACCTCGCTCTAAACTAAACTCATTTCACACCATATACACACCTTGTATCCTTGAGGAGACTTTCATTGCCTTCCATTCCTTCCTAAACCATTTCTAAAGCCTATCCGAGACCCTTACCCTAAATCCCTTACCTTATCCCCCCATTGGTGTTTTTATTGATGTGGACTTGTCATTCAAATCGCATGTCAAACAGGTTCCTAGAATATCCTTCTTTCATCTTTGTAATATTGCAAAACATTAAAATATCCTGCCAAGGTGTGATGCTGAGAAACTAGTTCATGCATTTGTTACTATAAGGTTGGACTATTATAATTTACTATCAGGAAGTCCACAAACTATAGTTGAAAGCCTTTAGTTTATCCAAAATGCTGCAGCCAGAGTTCTGATGAAAAGTAAAAAAGAGAGATCACATTTCCCCTATCTTAGATTCCCTCCATTGTAAAATCCAGAATATAATTTAATGCCGAAGGTTTAGTCACAGAGTGAGTAGAAAAAGGAAGTCGGTAAAATGAACAGCCCAATCGGGTGAAGGTAGAGTTTATTTCTGACAGATGTTTCTCCTTAGTTAAATAGTTTGGTCATCCTGAGCTATTTTCTATATTTATGCTGCTATATGCTTAGGCTGCTGGAGGAATAGGGGCCACTTCTCATCATTGTGCTTCATTTAATCTTTATTCTCCCATTATGCAGTATTTTTAAGTTCCATCTCTAACGATGTTATATCTGCTTTTTCTTGTCATAGTAGCTTCATCTAGTCTGCTCCTTTTAGCCTGAGACTTCATCCTGGATTGAAATATTAGCTTTGCCGATGCCATCAATATCTCTGATAATAGATGATGGAGCCTGGGGCTGTTTTTCAGTGCGGTTATGTTACTTTTAGTATGACTAAGCTCTTTTTCAACCCATGAGAAGTGGCCCAAATCTCATCTGCCTGGCTGTGTCTTTCCTGGACTGTGCCACCTGTGTAGCTAGTTAACAGTTGTCTTTGTAATGACTATAAAAAGGAAAACCCAGAATTCAACCAGAAACAACGAGAGACATTTTTGCAGTTTATTGGAAATTAAACTGCCACAGGTTGGAAGGATTCACCAGAGTCAGCAACTGGATCTTCAGGAAGGAGCCTGGACAGTTGAGTGACCAGACAGAAACAGAGTGAAATGCATCTAGCGTTGGACTCTGGTTTGGAGGAATCTTTCTTGACAGTTAATTGTTGGTCCAGAGGAATATACAGGGTCAAATCCATGACAGCAGAGACATGCAGACAAAGACAAAAAAAGAGTTTGTAATCTGAGTGCCGGTCCAGAGTCAAAGCCAGGGTATCAAAGGTTCAGAAATAATCCAGGGGAGAATCTGAGAGCAAAGTCATGGCACACTTACTATTCTGAGAGCTAATAATATAGTCAGGTAAGCAAGTGAATCTGATGGAGGCTGACTGGAAACAGGGCAGAGCTGGCAACTGTGTTGAATCTTGAATCGGACCAACACTAGTGCCAGGAATCATGACAATTAATTTGTTTATTTACTTCTTTTGTATGTCTTTTTCAATCTCCTTGGACCCAGTTAGTCTTGGCAGAAGGTCAATCACCCTGAACCCAGTTCTACTTGAGGTTTCTTCCCATTGAAAGGAAGTGTTTCCTGTCCACTCTTGCTGCATGTGTTCTTAGTGTGAGGGACTGCTGAGAAGTCAACGAAAATGCCAGTGACAATCGTCGCCGCAAGCTCATCCAAGAGGAACTTGTAAAGTGCATTGAGATGATATGTGTTATTAATTGGTGCAACATTATTAAACTGAATTGAATTAAACTGAGGGTGGGTCTCATTTTTTAGCTGTTGGGTCATTTGTGCTGCTACAATAGTAGCCATTCAAAATTTCCCCACTTTCCTTGATGGGTCCTTGGATGGTCCTTGGCTGGTCCCCCAGAATTCCGTTTTAAACATAAATTTTTGTACTAAAATATAAATTTTGTCATGAATTGTGTACATTAAGATTTAAAGGGAAGCACCATCTCCTGGTCAGACCCTGTAATTCAGTCAGAGAATGGAGTCAGAGGAAAGAAATATGCATATCCAGGAGAAGGAGGGGGTTACTCCAGTGGCTGGAAGTTGGAGGGGATTTTGCTCGGAGTTGAAGGAGAGTGGGTTACCATTTGGCTGGCATTTGAGTGGGAAGGGCAATTTTTTATGTCTGCTACTGTAGGGGTTGATGGAGATAAGTCAGCTTCTTTAGCCAGTAGGTGTGGATCATGATCACGATCACCTTGATACCATGTTGGAACACCAAATTACTAAGTGTTTAGTTGTTAGTTCAGACTCTGGGTACTGATGCATCCATATTTCCCACAGTATTTTCAGAAAGCCATCTGGTTAGGAATACTGGAGTAGCAGTATTCCATTAGTGCCATATTAAATTCCTGTTTCCATTGTCTTCTTGTTCTAGTAGCCCACTTATCATCATAGTGTCCTGGTTCCTCAACATTTGACACAGACCTTATTTGACTCACCCATGTTTAAGCCAGTATGGTTCTATGTTTATTTGCTCTCATATCATGAGATAGGCAGACATCCTTAATTGTCTTGCCCAAGGACCAACACTGGATGATGTTATAAGCTTATACATATCAATGATATACCTATATGCTTCTAGCATATGAACTCAGGCAGCCTTGCCTCTGTCAAGGATCATCAGGGCAGCTGTGGCTGCAATGCAGCTTGCCCCAGTAGTGTGTGAAAGAGTGGGTTAATGACTGAATGTAGTGTAAAGAACTCTGGGGTTCTCTGTTTTTTTTTTAAGGCCTTTCTTCACAGACACCCAGTTGGTGGCAGCTGGGATCATTAATGACCAATGTCCAAGCTGATATTAACTTTGATTATTGGTGTAGGAGGAAAAAGGTTTTCTCTACTGTTGGACCCTCCTGTCCAAACTTCTGCAAACCCCCCTCTCACAAGACACTACCACAGGGAGATACAGTCCTGCCATTCACTGTGCTTGGGGACAAAGCAGCAGCTTCATGCCTGTCTCATCCTCTTGTGTGGATCAAAGAAAGTCCATGCCTTGAATGAATGCAATGGATGCCACAGGAATCAGAACCTTCTGAATGCCAAAGTTAAGTTGGTCCTTTGGTGATTTCTGAACCCGGTTGCTGCAAAGACAACCATTCTGTAACATGTTCATGTGCATTTACAGGAAACATCAAGATGTCAGAGACTTGGAAAGTGGAGCATCCGAGAAGAAATGACACAGCTTACCTGCTGCATACCTGATGTGATAAGCTTCTGAATACTGGAGACAACTCAGCCTTTTCCAAAATGAAGATCAACAGAGGTTTCATATCATATTTCTCTTAATACTGATTGCCTTTATTGGATTCCTGTTAGATCCATAATATAATTTAAAACAACATATAAAGACTTAATAAACTAAGATACATCTTAAAACCGAGATGTGACACTTCCTTATGTTCCCAACAGACCACTTCACTCTCAATCAGCAGCTTTTCATGTGGTTCCTAGAATATCTAAAAGTAATGGGAGGTGATTTTTTTTAGTTATCAGGCTCCTCTCATGCAGAACCAACTAAAAGTTTTAGCACAGGAGGTGCACACCCTGTCAGCTAGGTGTGAAACTTTCCTATTTGATAAAGCATATAGAGTTGCACAGGTTGTCCTAAGTCTATAATCATGCTGTTAAAAGTGTAGGCTGCTGGAGGACATAGGGGCAACTTTACATCATTCTGTCACATTCTATCTCTATACTCCCATCTGACAGTATATTTTAGTTCAACCCCTACCTTTATGTTCTGTATGTTCTGAGAAAAAAATCAATAGGGTTTCTGGAATAGACACCTTTGGTTATAGATAATAGAATTTAGTCATGCTTCTGTCCTAGACATAGCTATGGGCAGGGCTTTTTTATCCTTATGTACTCTTCGTCATCCCTTATATAAAAACTGTCTCTGAACTTGTCTGCTTAACGGTTGCTTTCCTAGAAAGATCCAAGTGTGTGTATCTAGTTATCCGTTACATTTGTAAGATGAAAACATTTATAGATCTGTGCTTCTATGTACCTTTTCTATACCTGCTTATCTGTTCTTTAATCCCCTCAGCAGATGGCCGCTCACACTGAGTCTGGTTCTGCTGGAGGTTTCTTCCTGTTTAAAGGGAGCTTTTCCTCTCCACCTTTAAGCAAACATCTAATCTTGCTAGATGCTCTTCCAGGAGGTTCCCCGCAATGCCAATGACTCAATGAAATCATCTGATTTTCATGAGAAGCATTTTATCAATCAGACTGTGTGGTCTGATCTGTGGTCTCTGTAAACTGCCTTGAGATAACATGTGATGTGATTTACGGCATATAAATAAACTGAGTTGAATCTATTTAAATTATGTATATTTATTCATTTTATATTAGTCGTCAACTCTTTTTTAGGGCCCAGGTTGTATGTTTTGAATATGACTGGTACAGTGAGTGACAATGGGTCAGTAGATTCACCCCAATTTAAAATTCCAAAACATTTCCACAAAAGTAAAATTATTAATTCCACTTATGATGATGTCCTATGACACTGTGATATTTGGTTCTTATGTACTTAATTTCCAAAAGCCCATTTTTATCTGAGCCTTGCTAGATTTTTTGTTTTGGTTTTGTAATGACAGATTCTTTCTCTGATATCTGTACTACACTCTGGGATCTATTTATAAATACTGTCCTTCACACTGAACTGCCAAAGATCACATTGCACTTGGACATGGTTAGAGTACATGTTCTCTGTATTTCTGGACACCCTGTTCATAAACTTATGTGACATATTTTGAATTATTACACTTATTAGAGTTGAACCCCACGATTCCTCAACTATCCATTGGTAAAATGTATCTAACTTAAGATTGTAGTACTGCAAGCTCTTTGGACCCTCTACGGCTACATATATTAACATTAGATATAGTGCAGGCTGACTTTTTGCTTTTTTTGAACCCATACAGATAGTTTCATTATTTCAAACGCCTGTTTGAAAATACAAAATCCAACTGAAAATAGCTTTTTCTCCACTGCAGTGACTTTCAGCAGTATTCGAGTTTTTAAAAGCTCTGCATGTTTAAACTCAATTTTACCTTTATTAACTTACATTTTCTCCTGTCGTTGCAATCCTGAACAAAACAAGTTAGTCTGATGGTAGAGCTTTCATGGGGTTGTGTTAGGTGTGCAGCGATGATTGGTAGATCATTTATTGCAATAAAGCTGTAAAGCAGATTAGATTAGCTTGAGATTATTTTATGCATCTATAGAGTATTTATTTACAAAGTACTTAAAGTCAAAAAACTTCACGAAAACTAAAAATGAAAAAAGCTTGCCAGAATACTATGCTTTTAAAGTAGTTGTTTATCATCAAGTGCAAGTATTATCTTTACATATGTAAAAGGTGTGCCACCCTTCCTACCCTGAAATAGACATCATGTCCCTCATGCTTAACAGCTCTTGAAACCACTATCATTTATCTCCTTGTCCCCTTGTTGTTTGTGGTACTCTTCTACTTCATTCAGAGTTTATGCGTATGACAGCTAAACAACATTACTAGCCCAGAATGTCAGATGGTACTTGTATGTGTGTAAATGTGCATGAACTGGCTGTACATATATTCACACTTATGAGTTTGTGCACATTAGTAATACACTGGCATGCATGATATTTTTAGCGCCACTATCAAGTATCTACTTGTCCCAGTTGGGAAACATCAATATGTGAATCACTGGTGGTAGGAAATACAACTGACTCTGTGTGTGTGTGCATGTGTCCTTGACTGAATATCAAGGTGAGTTTTTTCTTTTCTTCAAGTAGGTCAAAGACGTAAGGGTTAATGTATTTCTGTGTGAACCCATTGAGAACTGACTAAAGACACTATTACCACCATGAGAGGAAGATAGAAGACAGGAGTGATAGGAATGTTGGAAAAGGGCTGGAAGGGAACAAAAGCAAGAAAGAAACAGGGAATAAAAGGTATTGGATGTGGTACAGTATGTGGAGGCCTTTGAAGGGGTCACACAGAAAGACAGGAATGGGTATGAAGGATGAATGTTTAACAAGGTGACTAGGTGTCAGCATTATATCACTGGAAAAGTAACTCACTTCATTGGAGCTACTGGTGTTGGACAAGGTATGTTTTCAGTTACTCATATCATCAACAAGGTTCAAGTGAGCAATGAGCCACAAAAACATCAACCATCATCTCGTATGTTCAAATATTAAACATATTCAATAACTGGTAAATTCTACATTAGAACGCTACTATATTTAGTGCAGCCTTTTTCTATATTTCTTCCAAAAAAAATATTTGGTATATTTTAATTCTAATTTATTTATATACAAATTTGTTTATAGAGGTAAATATATTAAATTCATCAATAATATGTACTTTCTTTTAGTGTTCCAAGAATTGAAAATGAATGCAAACAATATACTACAGGTGTGAAAAGGTCTGGAAAAAGAGGGAGAATGATGCCCTGTGGTTGTAGATCAGCTTTCGTAAGTTCCACATATTGTAGCCTTACTCAGTCACCAGAAGAATAGAATGGGAAATAAGCAAATAGTCTTGGGGAAAATTATCTTGTTCCATTACCTGTGGTCTCGGATGTTTTGTGAGCTGCTTTAACAAAGCCTAAGAAAAAGGCTGAGCAATGTTGATCACCTGCAGGGAGCCCAACGTAGAGTATCTGCTTGTTCCCTTTAAAATTAATTTGTTATATTGGTTCAACTAATTGCCTACTGGATGCCTCCTTTTTGACATATTTTTTTTTCTGGCACATCATACCAACAGGAGACTATGGGACAGACCCACAACTAGAAGAAAATATATGTTCCCTCTAACCTGGGAAAGCATTGTGAAACCAAAGAGCAAGTTGGAGTGTGTAATTGGGATTTGTTACTTGCAGTGAGCAGATCTTAGATGAGTGGAAAAAGAGGGATGGATGGATGGATGGATGGATGGATGGATGGATGGATGGATGGATGGATGGATGGATGGATGGATGGATGGATGGATGGATGCTGAAAGGACCTGTTTATCAGACTATAACTTTAAATAAAGAATTTTCTTGTTCTCAAAAAGGTTGTTTTGTTGTTTCCCTTAGAAAACTGAAAGTATAGATAATTACATTTTTTTTTACCAGTATGCATTCTTGGATTCCATGTAAACTTAGAAATTCTGAACCAAATTAATCACGCTTCTGTCAATTTTTGTCATACCTCTTTTAAGATCTTGTCTCACTAAAATCCAAATTTCAAAAAGGAAAAAAAAAACATTAAAGAAAAACTCAAAGTGTAAAAAACCAACAGAGGGAATTGTCTTACATACAAGTCTATATGGTTGAGTTAGTCGCATTACTACTTCCTACACTGATGTTATATATATAAACAAACCATTTCCACACATTTACTTAATTATTCTAGACCCTTCTATTTTTCTCTGCAGCTAACCATTTTTATACCTTTGGAATAAACTAAGCAAAAAAAAAAAATAGCTTTCATGTATATATTGAATTATTGGGTGTTCTTTTCTGTATTATACCCTAATATATTTTATTCTGGATTTTGACCACAGCTCTTGGCTCTAATAATCTGTGTCCAATAACCCAGATTGTGCTTGTGCTGCTGAAACGATCATTTGTTGTAACAAAACCATAATTCATTATGATAGAAGGAGTACAATGCAGAAAGTAATGTCAAATTGGACATTTTTCTAAAGTAAACACAAACAATCATCCCCGTGGGTTTGGCACATGGATAGTACAGAACATTCCAGGAAGACAGCTCAATTTCATGCCCAAATCTAACATGGTACAAACGTTCAACTGGCAAAATGATTCACATCCCTCTCCAGTTACTACTGCAAGTTTCCAAGTGAAACTGTGTTAAAAAAGAGAATTCATTTAGATCATTTATATATGAACCACATTTATTGTTGAAAACAAACGGAAGGAATATGATATCAAGAATAAATTTGAATAAGAAAATAGAGAAGGCTTAATTTCTTTGAGAATTATTGATAAATCACAAACAAATTAATGGCTAGTTTTAAGAATCAAAATATGATAGCCCAATTTTCTACTACTAGTTTTTCCTCAGAGGGTCATCGTCAAGTATTTTATACTCTAGAGTTGTAAATTGCTCTCTAGAGATAGATTTCTGTTTGTATTTTGTATGTCTGCATTTTTTTATTTAACTGTTTCTTTCATACAAACTCACTGAAGTTTGTATATGACATGAACATTACCAGAGTAAAAGTTTCCCAATAGGGAGAACCACCGATTACATCGAACAAAATCAGTGAGGGGGTGATCAAAAACTCAGATCATCACTGCATCACTACGTCACTAACAGTAACATAATTTCACTTAGTCATCCACTAGATGCATACATAGGTATTCAAACTTTGGTTTCTCCTTCTTACATTAACCAAGCAATAGTCAGATTGTAAGAGACACACAGTTTGCCATTTAGTCAGTTAATAATACAGTTCAGCAACTGATTTCCAGGATGTACAAGTTAAGATAAGATTCAAAGTTCGTTGTTCTTGATCTCACTGTCCTCGTCATCTTTGACAGAATTATATTACAGAAGGATCAAGAATGATTGAAAAAAAAGTGAATCTGCTCTTCCAATTAACCAGGACCAAAACAGTAAAAGAAAACTAAAGTAGGAGACATTGAAAAGGGATAAGTACAGTTTAATTTGATTGACTTAGGAATTTTCGACCATTTGAGTTAGTTGTTCTGAACCCACCAAAAAGCCCACCATAAAAGTGTGCAGGGGGGAAGGAAAGAACACAATGTCACTAAATGTATGAAGCGAGTAGCGTCCAACTCACCGAGCAGCAGCACAGCTGCCAGACCAGCATGGATCAAATCCCCTGATCTCAGCCGACCAGAGACACTCGAACCAGTGCTGTCCACTGGCGCCATGACACCAACACCTCCTGTCCTTCTATTCCTCTGTAAGCCCGCAGGGTATGTCCTTGACAAACTGTCTTCCTGTCCACCAGAGACAGGTTGGACTAATTTGCCTCCAGAAGAAGGTGAGACACTGAGCTGTGCAGCTAAGAGCAAGAATCTGAAGTCCTGCTTGCAGTCCCTCCCTCTTTTCTCCTCCCCTGCACCCTGTCCCGGCAATGAGCAGGGATGTGAAGCACTGGAGAAGAGCTCTCCTCTGCCCAGTTGTTCTCCAGAAAGCAAGGTTTGAAAAAAGAAAAGACAGACAGGGCAATGCAGTATCGAAACAAGGAGACTCTGTCTGTTCCCCTCCCTTCTTTCTGTCCTCTACTGCTGCTTGGGTAGAATGAATATCAAGAAAAAACACTCTGAGGGAAAAGGAAAAGAAGAGACGCGAGGCAGAGCTGCAGTGGCGGCTTCACAGTGAAGTATCAAGCCCCTTTGGTCCATCAGCAGCAACAGCTAGAGAAGCAGCCTGACCAGTAAACCTCACTGGGTGAGACTTGGCTGTAGGAGGACTGGAGGAGAACAGGCATGAGGCACAGAGGGATGCTGGGCTAGAGCCAGCAGCGAGGCAGGAAAGCAGAAAGTGCGCGGAAAGCCGGCACAGGGAGAAATGAGCGAGAGAGAGAGAGAGAGAGCTACTGCAGAGGTGGAGGAGAAAGCAAGACAGAGAGAGAGAGAGAGAGAGAGAGAGGAGGGGGACACAGTAAGGGGGGAGGTTACGTCTGTTACTACGCATCCTGCAGAGTAAGGCTGAATCAGTCTTATTTAAAATGGTGTCAGATTGGGACGTGACCTGGGTGCCTTTCGCTTACAAAACACTGGTCTTACTTTCATTGCTTCTCCCCTTTTACGTTTCTACCATACTCCTATGTTGGCAGGGTGATGCATTGGCAAGCTCTGATTTTGTCCACTGGCATTTTCCCAAACAATAAATCAAGTTTCATCACCAGTTTCTCTGTTCTCTCTTCAGTTATATTGTATGCTTTGATTATTGCTGGTCACCATTACAATGCTGATATTTTCAATATCAGCAGGTAGTTTTTAATTAATCTTCATCAAATTTTAAAGTTATATTATCACCTAGGTAAGAAGGCATCAAAAGTCTTCCACTTTGACTGACATTTCAGCCCATGTAGTAGAGGATTTGTTCCTCTATTTACAATATTACATGTTCAAACAATCTCTGAGTCTTCTGAATGGGATGAATGTTGTAGATTGTCAGGCTGGTTATACTTCAATATACATGTCAGAGCAAATGAGCATCCATTTGTGAAAGGATAAATGGCACTTTTTACGACCGGAAATTCTCTTCCTGATATCTTTGCAGATATTGTAATGATGTCACACAAGGAATTAGAACTTCAGTGGGCGCCCCTCAACTTAATGTATTTATTATCCCTTGATGTTATTTACATACATACTGTATATAAAAAAAAAAAAAAACTCACCCCTCGTGGGGTGGTATGTGTCATCCTCAAGCTCAGTATCTTAGCTGTTCCTAGGACTGCGCTCTTCTGGACAGAATATATATATATATATATATGACATTTCAGCCCATATATATATATTTATATATATATATATATATATATATATATATAGAGAGAGAGAGAGAGAGAGAGAGAGAGAGAGAAAGAGAGAGAGAGAAAGAGAGTAGGGGGAGCTCAATTTAGCAAGAAACCAAGTTAAGACAAGGCCAATCCTCTACTTCATTGAGCCCATAAAGCAATAAAATATATTCCACTCACCAGAGATCCTGATTATTTATAAACAAAATCCATTCTTCTGTCTTTATGCAGAAAGTCTAAGTATCTCCAGCCATTTGACCAGAAAAACTATTAATAAAAATTGTCGCTAGCTTTCACTTGGCTATAAACAGATTGCTCTAACTGACCGTTTGAGAAGGTGCTCTGGCTGGCCATGTGGGGCAAATCTGAAATCTGATTGGTTGAAGAAAGCGTTCCACACTAATATTGTTAAAGGGGTCATAGAATGCAAAACCGAGTTTACGTTGTCATAGGTGAATAACGATAGTTCAGTAGATGAAATTGATGTACAGAGAAGTTCAAACCCAAAGGACACCTCCTTTCTCTGCAAATCTCACATTTCTAAACTTCAACCGTAAAACAGTCAAATTCAAACGCAGCACAGAATTGACGTCAATTCAGGGATGTTGCCTTATTTGGTTCTGGCCTGTACTTTTGTCATGCCCTGAAATTGACATACAGGTCACTGGCCCAAGAACATGAATAGAGGTAGATGTAAGACACCAGTGTAGCTGTTTGCCCTAAAGTTGGGTTTACTTCTACAAGAATTAAAAAGCAGACAGTTTCTCTATTGAAAATTAGCCAGGTCGCTCAGTCCCCCGCTGGCTCCCTCTCCCCATCCACCGGAGTTCCCAGACCAGCTCTGGAGCTCACGGCTCGGTTCTGCTGCACTGTAGTCTACCAAAATCCTGCACATTTTGAAATGTAGAAAAAAATTTTAGGTATGAAAAGTAGAACATGTCCGAGTAAAGGAGGACGTCTGGTCACCCTATCATATCAGTAATGTGGTGTTTCAGTGAGTGAGTGCTTGTTGCTGTGATGCGTCCTTTGTTCAGCAGCTTCGCTCGTTGTAAACCAACTATTCACCTCACAGCACATCTAAATATTCATGAGCATACCATAAAAGGAAGAAAACCTGTTGTTTCATGCTGGGGCTCTTAACCATGCTTGCATTAGGGTTCATAGAACAGCAAATATGTAATTTTCAGCCCAACCCATGTTACACACCCTATTCAGAGAACTTAAGGACCAGTACCAAATACCATATATAATCCTTCTATGACCCCTTTAAGGTTAGATTAGTAAGCGCTGCTGATTCTGAAGGCCCTGAGCAGATTTGATTGACCTAACAACACAAAGAAGCTGAAATCTGATTGGACAAGAAATCGCAGCCCAGAGAAATGCCGCAAAATTAGAGTATTTGGATTTTTTAGGACAATTTACAGTTGGAAAGAAGAAAATTACAGTTTAGTTTATGGATGTAGGTTAGTGTTTCTCATTGATTTTAGGCCAGCAGTGAAGGCCTTGAAGGCCCTGACCACCCACAACTGCTAAATTCATGTTTAAAACTAAACTATGAGAAACAAAGAAAACCATGACATCATGGTCTGGGCTTTCCAAAATATGTTCAAAGACTTGTTTGTCTTTACATACCTGCCTACTTGCCTGCCTGCCTGCCTGCCAGACCATATAACAGGAATAGTTTATTATGGTTTAATTCCAATCAATAAAAAAAGGGTTTAATGTCAAATTGTACCGCCTGAGTAAATATTTGGTTTCAATCCTTTAATTTGCTTCCCACACATACACATTTTAAGTTCTCTGATAACAGTGTTGTAGTACTCGGGATCGGTCTTGGTCTCAAGACCGGTCTCGAGACCATTTTTTGATGGTCTTGGTCTCGTCTCGGACTTGACCGCATTTGGTCTCGGTCTTGTCTCGGTCTCGGGCGCTGAGGACTCAGCATTTTATTGCAAGACCAGTCAAGTACACAACTGTGGAAATAATGCTAATCATCAGAATATTATCAGTTTCTTTAAGATCCTTCTTTTTATTGGATGCTTGGATTCAAATCCAAGCAATAACCTGTCTCATTGGTAAATGCAGTGAAGGAGATCAATCTATTTTTTCAACAAATTATCTGTCTCATAACATATTTCACAACTTGGTGACAGATATAGATTTATTTAAGAAAAGTTATATAATATAGCTTTAATCTGTATATGAGAGAGAAACAAGAGAAATGATTGGCTTTTTTTTCAGTTTTACACATTTTACAGAATTTTGCACATTGTTTTGAAATAGCACATTTAAAAACAACATAAATGTATGTACTGTTCATGAACAGCAGAGAAAATACAATTTTGATCGACTTTGATTAATTGTTTGAAATTCTATGATTACTACACAGAAGTACTAAATAAAGATGTTAATGTTTAGTCCAGTTCTGTGTGTTAAATATCTAGGTGTTTTTATGTGAATGTGGGTCTTTTAGATACATTTTTGTGATTTTGATGTGTTTGACATTTTATTGTCACATACTGGCGCTGGTCTTGGTCTTGACTCTGTCTCAGACCCTAAAAGTCTTGGTCTTGAATCGGTCTCGGACCCTAAAAGTCTTGGTCTTGTCTCGGTATTGATACACTCTGGTCTTGGTCTTGTCTTGGTCTCGGGTTAGGTGGTCTTGACCACAACACTGTCTGATACATTGTGAACCAAGTAGACTTGAACCAAGTTCATTTAAGACTTCTTCAGTTTTTGTATAAATATTGCAAAATAGGGCTTGGGGATGAGTTTTGTGACATTAGGTTTTATCTATTAGTGTTGTAGCTTTAGGTTTAGGTATTATTCTGGTGAGGACAACTCACAATAGCACCAACTTTGGTCACAATACATGATAGATCACAGAATATGGTGAAACACTCCTTTCAAAAACATAATTATATATATATTTAGTTAGTTAATTATTTCTATTACAGAAATGACATTAATTTTTAACCTAAACCTACTAGGGTTATGAATAATTTCGGGGTTACCAGTAATTCAGTTTGCGTTGCTCAGATTGGAGCATTATCCCAGCATCTTATGTTTCTAACATGGCCTGGATAAACTCCATGAAGAAAGTGTACAGTATATGTACCTTGCAAGGCGCAGAGAAGCAGAATTGCGTCCTTCATCCCATGATCGAAAACCAGCAACCAGGACATTAGACTTTGTTTGCCTTTCATCAATCTCACCTCAGCCTTCAAACCAACTCAGAGACAGTGAAGGATTACCAAAGTACCCCCACCTGTATTGGGGGATGCATGGCCTGAGGTCAAAGATTTCATGATTTAATCACGCATCAACAAGGCCATGCAATCTAAGATACAGTATGGCACATTGTTACGGCTGCAGTGGGTTTCTGCCATTTTTCTTGTGGGGTTCTGGAGGCAGGCCTTCTGCAGGTGTTCTGTTTTGCCCTAATTGGTGCTCGTCTGCATTAAAAGCTGTCATACAAGCGGCGGACAGGAGACTCTCCGTCTTTCCTCCTCAGAACCCCATTTGGTTTGGTTTGTATCCTATGGTTGGGTTTTGTTAGGTTTGTTTGCATTTGCTTATTTATCTTTAGTTATAGGTTTTGCATTAATCCATTTTCGATTTCCCATTTAATTTATCCCTTTTTTCAGTTTTTTTTCTTAAGTGTAATTTAATAAATACAATTTTTAGTTAATAAGAAAATCCTTGTGGTCTCTTTTAATGTTACCCCCACCAAACAAGCTTGGTGGACAAAACTAGCCTGACATAGTCCGACTCAATTCTAGTCAGAATATGAGTCTAATACTGCTCCATAGAGCTGTGATTATGGGGCGTGTTTTGAACGAACCAGGAAAAAAAATGCCTCTGCACTCAACTGGATAGACCTACAACCAATAAGAGCAACGGAGTGCGTGACGTCTGTTAAACGACGCATAGTTGTTGTCAACAAAACTCAAAGCGTGCAGTTGCACACCTAGAATAAGAAGTTGAGACTTGATCGCGTTTCTCTGTTCCTCTTTTAAAATTAATTTGCTGTCGATATCTTCTA